TATGTCCTCATCTTCATAGTCTCGCTCCTCCTTCTCCTCCTCCTCTTTCTCACAATCGCTCCTTGGAAAATTCGCAAAGTCACGATCATCCTGATTAGTATTCATCATATTGTCATTATTTGATAAACTAGCATTTGGAATGGAACTTGTTGGCAGATCTTTGGAATTTTTGACCTTAAATATGTCATAAACAATGTTAAAAACGGTAACCTGAGCGAAAACTCGGCCAATCTGATGTATTCTGAGCATATGTCTATGAAGAGACGTTGTGGCTGTAAACGTTGACGGACATAGTCCGCACGTTAGAGCCACATGTTTAGAGTAATGAACTTCTTTCGCACTGAGTTTTCAGTCTCTAGAATGGAGTAAATTCCAATAAACAGTTGCCGCATTTGTAGATGTCCAAATCAGTCACCGCTACAACAAACATGCGCTAAAAGGTTTTTTTGATCAAATCAGCACCATCAATACCCTTTCTCTTATTTTTTGATAAACTCATCCTGATTTTCGTATCAAAAATGGCACTTATTTATTTAGTTTTTTCCTTTCTTGATACATCTACTTTTTTATCGTAGTTCAACCGCCGACCAATGAACAGAGACAGAATTTTAACACATCAAAGCTTTATTCCGTGAGAAGTATTTTCCTATCGAACTAAATAGTTGACTGTGTTTGATAGCATTCTTATTTTACATTTACCACAATTTACTCCATTTTTCTACGCAAACAGGCTAACATCAGTGGGAAAAGATCGTTGGGTTAGAAGTAGATTCGAACCGCACAGCCAAAAATTGCTTTTGAGCCCAGTAACCTAACCTACTAAACCACAGCGTATATCCGTCGTAAAATAAGTCGCTTGGCTCTTCAGTCGTAAAACAAAATGGACACAATATGCTGTATTAACTATCCGTCTTCAAACTATCCTTTCTTCGGTCTTACAAATAAGACTAATAGATTCGTCTGTCTTCAAATAAGACGGAAGAAAAAAAGTTAGACCAATTCAGGAGTAAGACGGATAGAATAAGGTGGATTTTTTTTAGAGTGTAGGATTGGTAGACACTCTTGATCATTGAGACGGTTTCAGAAGTGGGGGAAGGCTCTTGCAGGTGCTCAATCTATTGGTGTCATTTAAACCATTTTCAGCCTTTTCTACTAAGTGGCACTAGTGTAAATGGCTCAAAATTCTTCTATAGTGGTTTTCTGGAATACTCTGGATATCTCCAAACTTTTGTAAAATATTTTTTTCTGAGAATTTCGAGGCTTTAGTGAGGGTGACATGGTGTGTAAACTGTTTGGTAGTGTTAAGATACTTGTGGTTGATGGAGTCGCGCTTCTGAAAATGCAGTGACTATGTTTGTCTGTCTGGCAAATGTGTAATGAGATTTTACAAAATCTTACAGAAATTTAGCTTTTTTTCAGGCTTTTAAAATATTTTTTAAAAGTTTTGATTGAGTGTACAGCATAGTTCTCGAGTTTTATAACCGATTGATATTATTAGGTAGTAGCTGCAAACACGGTTGAATGCCTTCATAAAAAAATAATTTAAAATTAGACTATTCGAGCTTTCAGTGTAAGTTTCTAGATAACATGTCAATAGAGTAAATTGTATAATGGGGAATATACTAGTAAGAAGAAAAAGTTTTTCGACCATAGCTGAAATACCTCTTCCAGTCACGGTAAAACCTTCAACTCATTTTAGATAGAAGATACAGCCACTGTTGTTATATCGTTCTAATCGACTCAAGTCCACTAAAAAAGTTGTGCATCAGTTTTGGAAAATATTATTTTGTTGCTGAGAAAAGTAATTCTTTTGAAACCGGTAACAAAATTCAGTTTTTGACGCTGATCTCAAGTATGACATTGGTTTTGCAAAACATGGAAGTTTGATGACGAACACTGCAAAATACGAGCGCATTTCCTCGGTTTTTGCTACCGGTTTCAAAAGAATTACTTTTCTCAGCAACAAAATAATATTTTCCAAAACTGATGCACAACTTTTTTAGTGGACTTGAGTCGATTAGAACCATATAACAACAGTAGCTTTATCCTCTATCTAAAATGGGTTGAAGGTTTTACCGTGATTGGAAGAGGTATTTCAGTTATGGTCGAAAAACTAAAAATTTTCATGGACTTACGACATTTGAATGGAACCAAAAATAGATTTTTTAGATTTTTTCACGTAAAACTGGAATAAAAAAGTTTCAAGGTCTCCTCCTCCCCTGTGTTCGATATTTACGCTCATTTTCAAAAGATAAGCTGTTTTTTAAAATCTTAAAATTTTCGGGTTTTTAAATTTTCGTCCTCAAAAATTTGATTTCAAGGGTTAAAACTCACATATTCGGGTGCAGCTCGTCGAGTTCTATTGAATCATGCATAAATATCAAAAAAATAAAATCCACTCGATTTGAATTTCCGCTGCCTTACAGAAAAATATGCTCTTTTACGTGAGAGTGAGAAATTAATCTTAATTTCACGTTTCCTTATTTGTGATTATTTGGTCGTAGAACAACATGTTACCAGGAAAGTGGATATCGAATAACTGGAATGCATAACGAAAAATCGTCAAGTATTAGCAAACAAAATGTTGGGTATCAGAATAGCAATACATATTATGTTAGTCTCAATGACTCTGTTCTACTTGTTTCGCTTTCCATCGTTTTAATAACAAAACACTCAAAAGTGATAAACCAATTAGTAATATTATTATATAGATTACTAACATTACTATGCTATATGAATTGCTAATACCAGGATTAGTTAATGGAATGCTAGATAGTAAGATTAATAATTGTAATATAATTACTATAGTGCTCGTTTGTATTCGTGTATGATAATAATTACCAATTATGTACCCAATTACACCTGTTAATGGACAAAAAACATAGAATGGCCAATATGCAGTCTTATAAATATCAAAGAAAAAGTTTGATAAAAATGTATTTGGATAAAGTAACAAAGTCATTATAGTATATGTATTGCGAATTTGTGTTCCACTACTTCCGATATAAGTAAAATAAATCATGACTGGTGGTCCTCCAGTACCAAATGCACCGCTCAATACACCTCCGCAACAACCAACCAAAATTCCCCAAAGAGTATATGGTTGCTTGAAAGCTGATAATATTGTGTCATACCATTTGAGTTTACTGCCCGATGATCCTTGTAGATCTCCTATGAAATGTAAGTCGAATTTCATCACTTCACTGCCGGAGCTAATGAATGGCACAGCAGATAGTGGTATTTGATGACCTGATACAGTAGGATCACTATTCACATTAGCTGGACAAGGCTCGTTAATTGAAATTACAGTTATTGGGTTTGTGGACGATAATGCTGACACTAAATCAGCTTCGGGTTCTCTAGTTATTGTTGTCTCAAGTCCGGTTAAATCAGTATGTAATATGTTACTGTTCTGTAACATCAGTTCAGGCGACAGTTGTTCCTCACTATCATAAATATTAGCCATTTCCTTAGTGATTGGGAATTCTTTTAATTTACATTTCATCAATTTTGTAACAGCAGGGTTAATTAAAGGTAAATTACATAATGCTGAGTGATTTAGTGCAGTAGTATTAATATCTATATAAGTTGAACTTAACTGTTCATTTAATGTTGTAGATAATAATGGTGGGTCTGAACCAGCTTCGGTTTCTTTACTTAAAGTTACTTGAAGTTCACTTGTGGCGACATGTTCTGCGCTAGAAGGTGCTTGTAGCATCAGCTCAAGTAAGACTTGTGGCTCACTTTCATTAAGATCATCATTTACAGTTACTTCCTTTTGTTTCTCAGCTGCATTTTGTTGCTTCAGTTTTAATAATTTGTTTGCTCGAGATGTTTTATAATAGTTATAAAGCCTGTGAATTAATTGATAAATGGCGAAACAAATAAATGTAACCCCTAATGATCGCTTCAAGATAATTTGATCTGTTTTTGCTAATGCATAAACGCCAACCCAGTGAAATAACAAAAAACTAGGAAATATTGCACATACAACTGGCCACTGTATTGTTGATTGATTCTGACAAGCATTAATACTTATCAGTATGGATCCTACTACTCCACTGAAACTTATTGTACCAACACTTATTTTAAGATCACCGCAATCAGGAATTTTCATTACACCTAATAACATCCATAAACATTGAAATATAATACCAGCACCAAAACCGGTTAAACTAGCAATTAATTGAGCAACGCAACTACCGCAACACGCTAATACTACTCCCGATAGATGAATTGTCATGCTAATATTGTTTTTACTCACCAACAATCACCTATAGTGTTGTCATTTATTCATCTTAATTAACGACGCATCATCACTTTTCAGTCAAGGACAATAACGGTCACAATATCACAAGAGGAAATATTCAAGTAAAAAATGTGCTAACAGGTACTTGTTTTTTGAATGAACATAGGCTTTTTTTCATACAAAATATATCATTATATACATATCTTTTTCATCTCAATGACACGTACATTTGTTTACTTCGCCTAAAAGAATATTTTTTTTTCTACCAGTTCGTTACTCTCTTCTTTTTGCTACCCAAGCCTTGAAGAAGTATTCATTTATTATGTTGGTCGAGTACACCACTTTCTTTTACTTATTCTCTTTTTTTCAGTTAAATGAAAGAATAATCAACGTTTGTTTCTTTCTTGTCACTACCCATTGTGCCTCGTTTCTGATCTTCTGATTTTTGAATCCTTATGTGAAATTGAACGAAACTTCAACGAGTTGGATATGCAGAACGTTAAAAAACGCTGCGGCTCTCATTTTACTATATAATCTTGATCTTTCGGTTTTTTCAAATTTTTATTCTATTCTACTTTACATAGTTATTTCTATACAAACTGAAAAAAGAATGTAAGAAACGCAGTTGACTACGGTGTATATTCACGTGTCAAAACGAAGAGAAATAAGTGAAAAAGAACAAACAGTGAGAATCAATCCCTTAGTGTATGTACAAATGTGAGCCGAATAACTGGAAGAGAAAAAGAATTTAGAGAACTTTCTGACTGTATATCAGTTTTTCAACTTTTAATACAAATATCGCGCATCATCCTTTTAACATCTTGTTACTTGTTCTATCAAAAAAAGCTAGTTAGCGTTGCTTCTACGAAACAAAAATGTAAAAACTTCTATTGAAGTGTTGGACTTAGAAGATGTATAAATACAACGAAGTTAAATAAGAATTCAAATAAGTAGCGAAAGAAACTGCTAATTATTCTGAAACTGTTAATAATAATTTATAAAATGGTGTTTACAGCTACCGGCAAAAAAGCCCCTAAAAACCACAAAACTCCTCGTATATAATACAAAGAAAGAGGAAAGTAATAATGAAAAAGTAAGAGAAAAACAAATTTCAGCATAGATAGGAAATGAGGGAAAAAGACTTTTAAAAAATGTTTGAAAGTAGCCAGCATTTTGGCAAAAACACTGGCGCGACTGCATTTCTACAGCCTTACCTACCAATATTCTTGCCTATTTTTAATAAGAAATTAAGATTATGTAAACTTCATTTTAAGATTATGCAAACCCCGCGTTTCAGTTATGTAACCCCAACATTTTCCAAGGTCCATTCTCCCTTAGAATTCTCTCTACTAAAATAAACTTCAAACTTCGATCTCCTGCGGAGAACGGACGTGTCCTTGGAAGTTCTTGCCACTGAATATTCCGATTATGTTAGAGTACTCATTTCGGAGATGTTCGTACTTACTTGGTTTGAGACAGGAGATAAATATGGAGTCGATTTGAGATTGAGTCTCGACATGAGGCAAAAGATCGATGGCACATTTGCCCGATGTGACAAGTAACAATCTCTCGTTTTTAATATTTGTGACGTGGTCGATGTATGAGTCTAATTGTGTGTGGAAAACAACAAAGTCATTGATTTCTCTCAGCATTACCATAGTGCGTTGTGTGTCATTGTCTGAACCAATGTTTGGACCGAGCCAGATCAATGTCACACTCTCTTTGTTATCATCATTTTGTGTTCTCTCACTAGTGGCAGTCATCGATGGTTGAAGTGATGAAGAAAATGCTTGTGAAGCGGGTTGCGCATTTTCGCTGGTTTTTGTGTAAGAAGGTGGTGATGTTTTGGACATTTTTGTTACTGCTGATGGAGCAGGTGTGAGAGATGTTGACTTTGTGTCATGCTTTTCGTTGCTCAAACAGTATATGTGGGAAGTGGAGGATGAGGATGAGATTGTCGCTTTAGTCTAAGAATTCATGTGTTGTCGTTGCGGTGTTCTAAAAGTGAAGAGTAGAAGAAGTGAAATGAGTATGGTATTCTTCCTAGACATCGAATCTTATATAAGGATTCTGATAAGATTCATATAAGAATCGTAGGAGAATTTATAGAATTGTTTTATAAGATATTCGTAAGTCAAGTACTCCGTATTCTACGTTCTTACTATGATATACTGTTTTATACGTGAAGAAGATTATTTTCTTTCTATAATAAAAACCTTAGTCCCAAAGGGCAGTCTAAAGAAGCGCCCTTATGGTCCACTGCTTGTGAACCGGAATAACTTCTCTAAATTTTCTCTAAATTTATCATGACTGAATAAAGAGAAAGAAGTTCGAAAAATAATGCGACAGAAGACTACAGAGCACGGCATCTCACTCAATCGCATAAATTCCACTTTTTCAAACGAACCTTTAGAAAAATGCATCACGTACGATCCTTTTTTCTCTATAAAGATGGCATTCAATTAAGACTCTCTAAGTCGTAGAGGACAGAGCAGTTCCAGTAAGATTAATATGCATCAAAACTCCTTTCATACTTGTCTTAATAAAGCNAAAGAAGTTCGAAAAATAATGCGACAGAAGACTACAGAGCACGGCATCTCACTCAATCGCATAAATTCCACTTTTTCAAACGAACCTTTAGAAAAATGCATCACGTACGATCCTTTTTTCTCTATAAAGATGGCATTCAATTAAGACTCTCTAAGTCGTAGAGGACAGAGCAGTTCCAGTAAGATTAATATGCATCAAAACTCCTTTCATACTTGTCTTAATAAAGCACTAGAAGGAAGGAGTCATAAAAGAACTTCCTGTACAGCTACTTACATGACTCATCATTCAATAGTAAGTGTCAGAGAAACGAGTTTCATAATCGGTCGCGACCGAGAATGTATCGTTGAAAAACATTTTAATGAGTTGTTACTAGCAGCTAATTATATAATCTGTTTTAACGAAATCTTATCAGAATCTTATAAAAGTCTTACAAGAATATTATCAGGATCATATCAGATATCGATAAAGATCTAATAAGAGAAAGTCACGACTTTTCGTCAGGTCTTATGGGTTCCTTATCAATATCTTATGTAAATCTTATACGAATTTTATACTTATCTTATAGAATTCTTGAGACTATCTTACGGAATTTTATATAAGATCCACATAAGATTCTTATAAGGCTCTTTTTATAAAAAATATTTCTTTAGGGCTAGTGTGCATGATTGTATCACATAACTATTAGTCTCTGCTCTCTTGCTTTGTTAGAAATAAGAGTGATGTCATAGTGAAGAGGCGTACGTACTTTTTGAGGCTGTGGACTGTCTGTGTATTTTGTTGTGAGCGAAATATATCAGTGGAAGAATAATAACAGTGTTTTCGTTGTGAGGAAAGGAAATGAAAATAAAAGCGATGGGGAAAGTGTATTAAAGAGACTGATGCCGAAAAGTGTTTTGCTTTTATGTGATTAAATAGCATACTGTTATGTTTCGTGCTGTTTTCAAAAAACAAAGAGAGAACAAGAAAATGATGAATACTCTTAAATTCACTGTTTGTCGTCGTTTTCTTATTTTTCTTTGATGCATAGCACATTTCGTTCCATCCGTCGCTTTGAAAATATATTAACGGTAGTTGAGCACAAATGTCTTATTACGTTGAGTCATGGTCAATAGATATTAATTATGTCATACCAATGCACATGTTCTCAGTCGAGAACTCATCTGAAGTTGTGAATGAAGATCAAATAAAAATCACGAAATCACTTGTCAAAAATCATGGTCATTTACTGTAGAAGCAGTCCGAAAGTCTATAAACACTATTTTATAGGTTTTCAGATATGCTCTTTCCAAGGGTATGCTTTACAAAGTTCAAAGAGATTTTCATCTGGGTTCTTCAGAGATCGGGTCTGTAGAAAACTTACACATAAGTATTCTGGAACTTATAAAGCATACCCTTGGAAAGAGCATATCCGAAAACCTATGAAAGAGTGTTTGTAGGCTTTCGGATTGCTTGTATAGCTAATATCAAAATCCTTAGCCAAAATTATCACGCTATACTTCGACTTTAGCGTTTCATTAGATCCAAAAGGTTTTTTCTCAGATAAAACCTACTAACCACATGTCATTCGATACAGTTTCTTGCGCTGATCCTGAATATGTCATTTTTGTTGAATAAAAGCATTTCTGGGCCGAGATAAATGGAAAACCAAGGATTTTTTGGAAAACCAATATCTAAGCCCATGAATATTTGTGCTAACTGTGGTGATAACTTTCATATAGGAGAACATTCTGGCAAAGTTTGGTTCAGGTCCAAAGAAGGATGTGAAGGGGGGTCTCATTTTACTAAACTTAGCCGTTTGGAAAACCATTTACGAAAAGCATTTATTTTTTTCTCAACATTCTTTAGCTCAAACTGAAAGTTTTTTTACTAATATACACTAAATGATGCTGAGATTCAGGATTAACAAAACATTTGTCTTACTATAGTAGTCATCTTTGTGTAAAATTAATTTTTCTGACCATCATGCTATTTTCAGTTTAGTATTTAATTATCTGATTTTCCACTACAGTTGACTTCGTAAACAAAACTTCTAACGGCATTAAATAGCCCATAGTTTGAAGCATATGTTGCACTGTTTAAACCGTTCATAAGTCAGCTTTTATATTTATATATCTTGAAATACAGTTTTCTAGACGCAGTTTTCAATGCTGAAAAAGGAAAACATAGTTTCGAAGCTCCGAAATGAGGTAGAAGCGAGGTATTCAGTTTTTAAAAAAATTAGTGGTTTTTCGAAAAAATAGGTCCTTGAAGTTTTTTCACTGAAAGCTGCACTTGGAAGGCTCAGAGTTAGATATTCTTGATCAGCGTGCAATTCTCTGTCCAATGACGTATGATTAAGCCAAAAACAAAATAGTGCTTAAACTGTGAATTTGGAGCGCCTTACTGGGTGGCGCATAATGAATGGCATACTTAGTATTTTACTTATAGCTTTTTTCCTCTTCAATCCTTAGACCTAATTGTTTTTCTAAAAGATGCGCCGTCCAATTCTCTACAAAATGATATATAAATGTTATGACATTTATTCCAGATACATTTTTTATAAAATGAAAAGCAATGATCTTCAAAAACTCGTACTTTCTAAACCTGAAAATGATGAAGGTCCAACAAAAATATATATTTTTCTCGTGTTTCTTTAGGACCCTAAGGTTAGTGTTTCTTTTTAAAAGACGCGCCGCTACAGACTCTAGAAAATTATGCTCAAACTTTAATTTCAGAACTTCACTCAGCAAAACTTACGAAGAATTATACGAAAGATGAAGAAAATGAAAGCTTTCTAATTTGGTATTTTTTTCGACTTGAACGTTTTACTTCTGCTATTATTTCCTTAAAAAAGTGTAGGAAGAGTGGGAACGCAATTCCTTTAGTACTTTTGAATGTGCTCTTTCTCGTAGTCTGGAAACAAATCTTTTTAGAGCAGATGGTGTGCTGGAGAATGAAGTTATTAAAATACGTCAAAAATTGACAGTCCCACGTTTACAGCAATGTGCCCCAACAAGCAATGGAAAACATGATCGAAGTTTTGATTTTGCAGTTAGGTGGAGAAGAGCAATCATTTGTGATCAAAACAAAACAAATCCGATAGAAAAAGCTTTTGGTTTGATGGAGTTATGGGACTTTTACTGAAAGCACCACTATGCCCAAAAATTAAAAATCAATGAAAAAATGCACAACCGACGGAAAAGTTATTATTTTTCCATGGATCTTTGATATGAAAAAATATGAAGTATAGCTAAAAGATAGAGCGAAGTCATGCCTACAAAACGGCTAATTCAGTTTTCCTTACTTTCAAATTAACACAAGAAATCGTTTTTGACTTTAGAAAGCTTTCATTTTCTTCGTCTTTCGTATAATTCTTCGTAAGTTTTGTTGAGTGAAGTTCTGAAATGAAAGTTTAAGCATAGGTTTTAGTAGTTAGTTGCTAAATGAACTGAGCTGCGAGAAATTACCGTTTCGTTTTTTTGCTACTCGGACGGCGTTTTCACTCTTTGGTATGATGATAAAAGAAATTTGGAGCACTTTCTTTTGAAAGTGATTACAGTAAATACCAGAGACGGCGGAATGATTTTGAATTTATGTATGTTCAAGGACAAGAACGAAAAGAAAAAATAAGTTTCTGTTGGAAGAAAACGGAAATTTTCAAAACCTGTTGGTGCCAAAGCATCCACAGCCCCCATGGTTCTGCAGCCTCTAATAAACATGAATCTAAAATATAAAGTAGAGAGAGGGCTTTTAGTGAGACGGATATTAATTATTTGGATATGTTGATCACAAATACGGTACGGTACTCAAGGTGCATGTAATTCAAAATCTGAGCAAAATTTTTTTCTAATATCTTATAGAATCTCGAACATAAATACAAGTCGAAAATTTGAGTTTTTCAAAAACCCAGTAATTTTTCGAGTTTTGAGACCTTCTTTTCAACAAGGTTATTCGCCAGAAAATACTGTGTAAGAAATCAAAAAAGTAGAGAGATTAAATAGATCAGATATGTTCGAAAGCGAAAAAATATGTTGACTCTTATAATGATTCGCGGCAGAACGTACATGGACAAAACACTTTTACTCACATACACAAAACAGTTTACCCGAATAAGACGGATCTTTCGCAAATATACGGTTCCAAATGTAGAGTGGGATTACACGTGCTCCTCCCCGGCTTGCGAGGGAACGTCCCGAGGTGAAGCGTTCCTTTTTCATTCGTTCTTGCGTGGTTCGATAGGGCATCGGATGGGGGTAAAAAGCCTAAGAGGGTTCTGGCGGAGACTTTTCCCCTGAAGAGTTACGGGCATTTTACGCGTTTTCTCAGCGGAAATCGGGTAGAATGAAAGACATTGCCGTTTCGTACAGGAAAGTCGTAGAGATCTGAAATGTTTTTTGGTCGTGGTGCTGGGGGTCCTCCTTATACCCTGAAGTGTCCGACCCCTATCGCTTCCCCTCAAAGAGTTGTTGCACTTTTCGTACAGAGAGGAAAACGCAGTGTGATGCAAGTTAAACTCCGAGCTCTTTTTTTCATTTTTGTGACTTTAACACCTTTATTATGTTAGCTGACGGGAGGTGATCAAAACTCGAGTTTGTACATAATAAAGGTGTTGAAGTCACAAAAATGAAAAAAAGAGCTCGGAGTTTAACTTGCATCACACTGCGTTTTCCTCTCTGTACGAAAAGTGCAACAACTCTTTGAGGGGAAGCGATAGGGGTCGGACACTTCAGGGTATAAGGAGGACCCCCAGCACCACGACCAAAAAACATTTCAGATCTCTACGACTTTCCTGTACGAAACGGCAATGTCTTTCATTCTACCCGATTTCCGCTGAGAAAACGCGTAAAATGCCCGTAACTCTTCAGGGGAAAAGTCTCCGCCAGAACCCTCTTAGGCTTTTTACCCCCATCCGATGCCCTATCGAACCACGCAAGAACGAATGAAAAAGGAACGCTTCACCTCGGGATGTTCCCTCGTCGGGAGTAAAAATGTGGGCTTTAGAATATACTTGAGAAAATACTATTTTTCCGTAGTTTGAATCTGGACAATGTGCGGGTCTCTTTATGACAACAGGAGTACAGTTAAACCTGAATTAGATATACCGAATCTTGACCAATGGAATATTTGGCGTTATATCCATATAAACGCTGTGATGAAGAATATATCGGTTAGTCCTGTAAAAGGTCACGTTTCGTTCCTTGAGCGTGAACGCTAAAGCACGTTCAAGGAACACCAGCGTGCTTTAGCGTCCGCCCAGGACAGTGACCAGATTATTGCAATGTAAGAAGGATAGCCATTAATTCTCTGATCAAGACATTAATTCTTTCAAAAACAGAACTCCGATTTTCTGACCAGAAGACTAGTTTTTCCTGCAGTGGAACCGAAGTTCCTTGGTCCAAATCATTTCAGTAACTATACACGTTTTCCTTTGTTATCGTAACCCATTTGGGGCAAACGAGCATTGGTTTTTCGCTAAATATAACTGGTAATTGAGAAAGCTGTTTTACTTGGTATACTACTAGGTGAAATTGCTATATAACGTTTTGCAATGCTGTTCATTCCACACAAAATCAACACCGTTCATATAAAATAAAGTTCATGTTCATCAGAATATTCACGTTCAAGCAACGCCAGCGTGCTGTAGCGTTCACGTTCAAAGAGAACGCTATAAAGGAATTTCATTTTGTGTCGCTCTACTGAATAGCCTTAAATTATTTAATTGTTAAAATGTTATTAATTGTACTAGACCCTGAGAATATATTCCTCTTTTCTAGTCTATTCTCTTACAAAAGGCATTCATAAATTTAGTACTCAAAACTGTTGCGCACGTAAAAACCCTCTAGCAGCTGATCCCTTATGTCATCAAAGCAATGGAAATCAAGGAGGGATTATAAAATAACTGAAAATTTGGATGATCCTCGGTTTCTCCCGTAATAGAAGATCCCTCTCGAGTGAATGATACAAAAGACAGATTATATGGCCTCCCTATAAATCCTAGAATTTTTGCAAAATATATATATGGTTTTAGTCTTTTTTGAGCTTCTGAGCTCAACATATCAACTATTTTTGTACAAAAAGTGTGATTTCGTTCTCTTTTTTCATGATTCTGATCCAGTTTTGTGTCAAAAGCCAGTAATAAACCTTGAAAAATCTCCCCACAGGCTCATGCAGAAGTATTATAAGAACATAATATAAAAAGTGTTACCGCCAGCGACGAGACCTACCTCACTCTGTAGAGTTCAACGCGTTGAATCGAACGGTGAAAACCGCAGGTCTTTAAGTTAGTTAAGAGTCGTTAAAGATAAGCTACGGCCTATTAACGTATAATGATGCTCAATCGAGCATCTCAGATTTCTTCCAAAATAGGGGCTTCTTTAGAGCAAACATCTTCGTGAATTTTGGCAAAAATCGGAGGCCTTAAAGTTGTTGCGTTGCTGAGATATTCAATTTTTACGAAAAGCCCCAAAAAAGTAATATTAGTAAACTACTATAAGAGGTATAGTATTTTATAGTAGTAGTAGTATCAGCGAATTTGAGCTTTAAAAAGTCAGCCACACTTGAGCCCCGAAAATTCAATTTGAGTCAGCGCCCGTATAACATATTAGACCGAAGACTCAAAGTTCAAAAAAGCACAGTAACAGATGAACAAAAAAATAAAGTAATGCTAACCGTACTATTCACGATCGTCATAATCACCTGTTGCTTAGCCATTCTATAATCTTGTCACTATCCTTTATGTTTCCAGGACTTGTTAAGTTCAATTTCCGTCCAATATTCGGGTACAAGATTGGCGTGCTGATCCAGTGAAAGTTGCGCCCGACATTTGGTGTCATTCCACCATACAGTGGCGGCATCCATACCTGGCCGACGTTCGCCAGAGTGGACCACAGTGCAAACGATGATCCAGCAGAAATAACCAACACATAGGGGGCATAGATCAGTTTAGCAGAGTCTTGCCATAGATCACCTGGTGAAGGAATCACAACTATATCAGGGCGAACGCGACTTAGATATGTTATTTGCGCTCGCCGTAGAGTGTCGCATAAGGCAGTGGTTCACGCCTTAGCATACACCTGATATAGTATTGTCACTGTTTCTGGGACGCATTGAAACGCGCTGTAAGCCAGTTGCCCATGCTCATCATGATCAAGAATGGTGTTCCTTGAGCAGCGGTCGTACACCACCATCTCAGAAGTATTGAAAACGGGTAAGCTTTGATTGTTAACTACTGCCCAGTGTTCCATTGCCGATCTGGTATTCTGTTGTATCTGATCTCGAATATGATTCCATGCTCCAACACATGTATGTGCATATACCATGTTGCAATCGGGTCCAGGATCCTTACACATGCGACGGAATAGTTCAGGATAAGCCTTAACACATGAGCCCGAAGACAAAGGTGCTGCAGAAACGGGAAGGAAATCCATCCAAGAATGAGCGTTCCATTGGTTCGATGCAAATAAACTTCCCAGCAGAAAAGCCGCGCCTCGAGCTTGCCAATAAGGGGATAATGTGTTGCTCCAATTGTCTGATACATAAACACCCCACTGGACTAGATCGCGCCTGAGAGATACGTAGATTCTACCTTGACTAAGATTATTGCATATTAGCGGCTCGGACTGCGGTGATTTGCACACGGCGTGTGCTGAAACATTAGCTTTAATGACAGCAATCTCATTACACTTGAATCGACTTTTGGTCAGCCGGTGACTAGGAACATGAACAAGATGAAGATGATCATGCCGGTTATGTTTAAGTAGAGAGTATAATCCCACAGAGACGAGAAGAGAAGCAGCGACGGCAATTATTGCTAGCGACCTAAGTACAACGGGCACTCTAAGCATAGTTTTGTCCGTAACCATCCCTCTGTTGATCTAGTACAACAGCATCATCCAGTAGTCTATAACGTATCAATATGTACAAAATTCTACTTACACCTAGCAGCAAAAACTACTCCGATCGAACAAAGACTTTATTTTCAAATACTTCTATCAGACGTTCAAATCAAAACAACCTAGCCATTAGAAAAAAAGCTGGTTTTCGAGCTTACGTTGACGCTGGAGCCGCTAGAATAACAAAGAAAAATATTAATTTTTTTATCTTTATTCTAGTAAACAAAGATTAAAACAACAATGATGTGATAAACTGAACGTTCTTAAAAATACCTCATCCTAATTATCGTCCGTTGTGTGAGGCGAAAGATGAAGAAATATTATGTGAGAATGAACCAACCCGCAACTCATTATCTCACTCTCATCCTCCAGCTGCATATTTAACTAGACTTGAATCCAATGCAAGTCAATTTGCGTTATAAAAACTCTTTCAACATTTGTCTTGCGATCATTTCCTTCCAACAACACTGCCATACCTTCATCCGACAAAAATGCCTGCGCGTTTTTAACACACGAAAAAACCACTGGAAGTTTCTTTCTACTTTTTTCTGCGAAATTCAGCATATTTTTTGCCAATGCTTTCATTTATATGATATTGACAAAGTGATATCTATTCAAAAGATATAAAATAAAAACCGAATTTGTCTCAAAAATTCCCACTACAACTGATTCTAGAAAGTTCTAACTGTACCTGCGGCCTGTTTCTCTGTAGTAGTAGTCCTAGTCGTTGTTGTTGTTGGAGCATCAGTTGATGTAATGGTGGCTTTAGTTGTGGTCGACGACGACGAGGTTGACACTGGAGCCTCTAGAATAACAAAGAAAAATATTAATTTCTTTATCTTTGTTCTAATAAACAAAGATTAATAAAACAATGATGTGATAAAGTGATGTACACACTTTAATTGTCGAAATCAAAAAAGAGATTATCTGTTGAATATGCGTCGGACTTTAAACAAATAACTGCAACAACGGAGAGATTCATTTCTAGCAAACGTTTCTTCAATTCTAATTAAGAATATCACCTTTAAAAATTTTTAAAGCATCAGCTTGGATTTCAACTACGGGTAGAAAGCCTGTATTTAAAAATGATTTTGAGAAGTTTTGTGCAAGATGCTTTAAAGTCTCTGTTACTCTATATTGGAATCTGCAAGTCTCTACCGTTGTTTATTCTCAAGTTGTTGGAGAAAAATTGAGCTTCCTCATAAGCTGAATTGGATGGTAGTTTTTCTCGTTTCAGTTTCGGTGGAAGTTGCTGAGGGTATCAGGAATTATTTTTTATACTGTATCGCTATGGGTAAATTTTTTTTATGGTCTATAGAGAATTAGCTTCTTCAGAAGTAGTCTGATTTGCATCGAATGTAGGTCGTAGAGGTTTTAATTATGCTTTAGATTTTTCAAAAATGTAGGATCTTGAAAAATCCTTTAACTATTTTAGTTTATTGGTCTGGCGGGATTGGGCAGAGAGAAATTTTTCCAAGAAAGTGCATGTTTATGTTAAGAGGTTTCTTCTGGAAATAGGGTATATCATCTTGTTTTCTAGCGGCAAGTTCGATTTTGTAATTGTCCTGTTAGATTATACAAAGAGTGAAAGTTAATATCGGGAAAAGTTGCAGGGAAAACTCTAAAGTTCTACGACTTTGACTAGGTCCTTACTGTCGGGGAAAACGCTGACGTTCTAGGACTTGGCGAGTTTTTCGTGCCCTGTTGTATTGATGCTGATTATCTTTGTTAGTTGGGGGTTCCTAAAACTGAAGAAAGAAAGGATTTTGTAGAATACAGACATGCAAAAAAGAACCGTTTTGAGCTGAGAAGTGGATCTTTGGTTAGCCCTGATCGCTGATGGATGATTTTGGATAAACTTGGAAGACTTTATGGGAGAATGACAAGAAGCGAACAGAGTCAAATGGATTATAGAACCACTCTTAGCTATAATATTCCTTTGGACGTGGTAGTAGAGCAGCACCAGCTTACTTTCTACTGTAGCGACGCATGGAAATTGAATTGGTGGGTTACGTAATTCAGATTGCGTTGTTAATGATTTTACAGCTGTTGCTCCATCAATGTTTGATGTACTGCTAAAATCTCCTGTTGTGATGACATTATATTGTGAAAAGTATGTTGCGCCCACTGAATTGAATGGGCATTCATTGCTTGACGTGGTTGTTCCATCACTCACCTGATCAGTTAGAGTCGTTAAAAGAGCGATAATTAAGGTGTAATAAACCCGTAACATTTTCGTCGTGAAATATTGATGCTACGACAGGTAGTGCCTACCAAGACCGTGCATAAATGATTTCTTTTTTTCCCTTGAACAGATGACTCTCATTAAAAGCCATTGGCTTTTTTCAGTTTGACGTCAAAAGAAAATAAAAAATATACGTTGAGACCATGAATGATATCTTCGGTTCAGTTCAGTCCATCTGTCGATACACTTGAATATTTTGCGTTTTCTCTTTTACTATTGATTTTATTATATATCATGAAAGAAAAAAGGGTACTACTGCATACTTCACTTAGAGGACATATTCTGAAACATTCAGACAGCCAATAGAACCATAAAAAGCTGAAGATACAAAAATGATGTAAACATTAGATTCTTTATTCTTCTTATGTTTGAATTTCATATTGCGAGCTGTCGCTAGTATATTCGACCGACTCTACTTATAACATGTTGTGAAAAGTCTACAGAATGTGACCATTTGATTATCAATCACAGTTGAGGGAAATACAGATAATTAGAAACCAGTTCCTTGTTGATCGCTAAAATCATTCTCTGATTCTCTATCTGTTTAGTACAAGAATAAAAGCAATACATTCTAGAGCACCAGGTGCCTATTTGTATCATACAGATGATACAAAAATACATGGTCTAATGCAAAGCAATTTTTCGTAGCGTTTTTCTCAAAGCATCTAAAAGTCACTTTCATGGATAGACATGACCATATTCGATGCGAAGAATTGGCATAGCCTCCTAGAGAACAATCAATTAATTTGAAAGTGGTTTTTCAGAAAAAGGGATAAGTCTGGTCACTGTCTTCATTATCATATAATAAAAACCGATCACCACCATTGGTTACTGTTAATTGCTGTGAAATACTTATATCTTCGAATGATGTTGGTCTTGGTAATGGTATGTCATCTTTTTTACGTTTGCGTTCAATAGTATGTTGTGATGCTGTATAACTGGGTATAGCTGTTCCATCATCTTTATGAACATCTAATAATGCTTCATTTATAATTCGTCGAGGTGGATCATGTGATGTTATTGCACGTTCACTAATCTTTGAGTTAAATTCGGCAGCTATTATTTCGTCTGGATTTGGTGCATGACTATGGTCAGTTAATTTAATATATTGTGTACCATCAAAAGTTACACGACCAGAACAATTATTTTTAACACAACGCCACGTAACTTGACTTTTATTTGCACGACGATAACGAAAACCATCAAGAAGTTGATCTTTATCTTTAGAAGATTTTACAACAGACATTTTTAAGGAAAAGTAGGATAGTAGAATGAGCGATGTGTGTTCCTTACTCTGCGTACATATATATATTTAGAACTCGTTCGGAAGCCAAATTCAAATTTAATCAACTCATTATTAAAAAATAAATTATTAAATAAAATTTTAATCAATCAATCAATTAGCCTGTTCGTTAAAAGTATCGAACTCAGTCATATAATGCCTATCTACGACAGGCTCAAATGTCGAAGGCTCACGTATCGGGAGGCTTAAATATCGGAGGTTGAAATGTCAAGAGCTCAAGTGTCGGTAGGCTCATCTGTCGAGGCTCATTTGTCGGGGCTCAAACGTCAGAGGCTCATCTGTCGGTGTATCGAAAACTAGATATTAAGTGGTTAATAAATTTAAGAAATGAAACTGGAGAGTTGTATGTATCAGTTTATTTCCTGCTATTTATTATTTTTATATTAAATTATCCCTGTATCTTAGCTGATGTAGTATTACAGCATTTAATATGTCAAAAAAAGAAAATGAAGAGAAATCATCTTAATAATGAACTGCAAATCTATAAAAAAGCATGATGGCTTATTTGCCTTTTTAGTGAATAATAAAGCAAAGACAATTAAGAAAATAGGAAAAGTGAAAGAAAATCATTAAAGTAGGACAGTTTTAATGAAAAGTCGGTGTACAACATAATCTTTCTTTTGTGGTCGAAATAAAAAGTCGACTTTTTTACTGTCAGATGGAATGAGTTCTAACTTTCCGTTATCATGGTAATAACGTTCGACTAAGTTTCGATCTATGGAATTATTAGCGTTTTAAAAACGGAACAACACCGACACTTTAGTCAAACATTATTATTATCTAAAAGAATAAACAATTTTACGAAAGGTTAGAGCACATTCTGTCTAGCAGTAAAGAAGTAGATGTATCGATCTAACTCTTACCATTTATACACTAACAGCTGAGAACGTATCGTATAACTTAAAAAGCTTTGCTATTTCTACACCAACAGTAAATGACGAAAATTACAGAAAAAAAGAATAACATTATTATTGAAGAAACAGCAACTATGACGGCATAGACTTTCAAAAATGATTGTTTTGTTGCGATATTGCTGAGAAACACGTCGTTATCATCCAAGAGTGAGCGAATATCAGTCAGATTGTTGAGTGTTTTGTCTCGAGCAGCATTTAACGCTGCTATTCGATATATGGAAGAATTTAAAGGTACAAGTTTACCTATGGTTGGTATTGCGATTTCCATACGATGTTCAAAACAAACTTGCTGGTTTATTACACCTAGCTTTTTCACGTCATCACAGTAGTTTCCGCTGTAAAATGTGAAATCGTTACAATCAGACTTTTGGAAACAATTTGTTCGTAATATAGCTATATCAGTCACATGAACACGGCAAGCATCTTCACCACCACTTGAAGGGATTTGAGTGTCAGATGTCTTCTGTGAGCTAGTGCAGTCCAATTCTTTATTCGTCGATAAAATCCATAAATTGCTGTATAAATGTCTGCTGTAAGGCGTATCTAACAATACTTGTTCAGTTTCACCCGCCGTTTTGCCTTTCTGAATTGGGAAATTATTGTGATTGTTATTTATTATTTCAGCTAAACATTTATTAATGATCATGTCACGTTCTAGCACATGTTCTCTACAAAAAGTAATTGGTCCACGGATACAGTTTCCGTTATTACGTTCGTTATTGTGATTACGTTCATTCTCGCTTCCATATTCATAAAAGCTTCCATCAGCAGCTAATCCAAATGTTTCTGGCAAGTTTTTTGTTTGTTGTGCTTTGTTCTGATTAGGTAGAAACTGCGGTATGTTTACTAATCTAAATAAAAGATTTTCGTTATGGATTTTTGTAGGATAAACCTTTAATAAAAGTTTATAAAAATATGTACACACCTATACAAGCGCACTGGATTTGAAGTGATGGATTTTGGAATCATAATATAATTAATTACGACAAAATTTCCAAGTAAATACGGCAATAACGAATCATTCGCATACATATTATAGTTTTTTATTTCCTTAAGTGTTTCATTATCCATATGCTTTATTGCTTCGTCACTATCGTCAATGCGAATAAACTGTATTTCCTGTCCAATTAGTAAACGATTGGCCAAGCCTGATGCAGTCATATTTTCAGCCTCAGATGACAATCGTGTCTCAACAGTTTTAACTATGATATTAACAAGCTTTTGCTGATCTCAAATAGATATGTAGTCCAAATTTAAATCTCCCTTCTCAATACGTTCAAAAGATAATTTCATTTTCACAAAACTATTTTCCATTTTATCACGAATCATTTTGACGACTGTGCCTTGATAAGGTTTTATTAATACTGTGTAATTTTTCAAGAGCTCTAAATAGTCCGTCTCTTAATATTTTGATATTTATATCAAAATCATTCAATGCTGTGCTGATCGCTAACTGTTCGTTCTGTAGTTTCAAAAGTAACGATAAATGCTGTTTCAATATACCTTCATGCATATTGACCACAGTTCGTATCTGTTCAACAGAATGAGCTAGAGGGTGATGCAAAATAGTATTTGTCAAGCCTATACCGCGGTCGAAAATACTTCTTAGAGCACCGAAACCTGAAGCAATCAACGGTACAACGGCAGAAAGTAAAGGTGCAATTCTTTTTTTTCGGAAAATTCGTGATGAATGCGTAATGAAATTCTCCTGAGCTACTGTTTTGTTATTAATGTTAAAGATCAATTGTTCTTTCTGTTTTCTGGTCGCTTTGCTATTTGTTGTTTCAACAGCGGCCGAGAACAAGTCTCGTTTTGATCGAGTAGTTGATATGATA